AGCTCACCACCGCAAACCGTTTCTTGCTCTGAGCTAGCTCCCTACGTTTTATAAAAAATTATTGAAATCCCCGATTTTTCGGACCTCTGAAAACGAGGCAATGATGTGACGTCAAAACCCTCATACTGAAACAAGACTATTCCAGACAGAGATGAATGATACATGATTTCTGACAGAGTGAATTAGCGCCAGATCACAGTTGAAAGAATTAATATATCAGTTGCCTCAGTCTCCGTCGGGCGTTTGGTATATTCTTTTAACTATGGCGAGATGAGGTTTCTACGTCATAAGAGGGTCCGTTTTCAGAAGGTACTATTATTTATGCCCAAAAATACAACATTCCAGTTAATTTTCCGATCGAATTATGTCGTCAATCATTATTTATGTATAAAAGGATCATTATAAACATGGTTTGAGTTCAAAGTTCTAATAAGGTATACACGCCCATTTGCTGGAGCGAGTGGGGGAGTGGGGTCATCTTCAGTGATATAGACTGCTCGCCAACAGCAATGGAACCACCCCGATTTACGGAAAATGATATCAGGAGTCGAAATAGCTTGAAAATCACTTCGGATTCGAAATCAAGACGCCCAATTCACTAACAACTCATATTTTTCCTGGAAAATTTTTAGTTCTGAAAATGTCATTTTTGTCTCACATTTCATGGAAACACCCCCGTATCTTGCGTAATTATTGAATTGGGATTGTTAAATTTCCAGGAGCAAGAAATATTACAAAGATACAGTCAATGATCAATTGATATACATACACTGCTCGCTAATACTAATATCATTTTCCAGAGATTGGGGTAGTTCCATGGCTGTTGGCAAGCAGTGTATATACTGAAGATGACCCCACTTGGTCATAGAGTACATTTTTGGTATATCTTTGGTGTTTCCATGAAAAATGAGACAAAAATATATTTTTCAGAATTGAAAATTTTTCAGGGAAAATATGAATAGTTAGTGAATTGGGCGTCCTGATTCCGAATCCGGAATGATTTTTAACCTATTCTGACTCATAATATCATTTTCCGGAAATTGGGATGGTTCCATGACTGTTGGCGAGCAGTGTAAATCACTGAAGATGACTTCACTTGGTCATTGAGTGTATTCTCGTGCTCCAGCAAATTTCAGGATCCTCACCTAACTATCGTAAGATACAGGGGTGTTTCCATTAGAACTGAGACACACTGTATATGGAATTATTAAATTTGCTAGTGTAAAAAGGAAAAAAAAGGGAGAAAAGTCTATTGTGAGGCAAGAATTTTGAAGGAATTTCAGTCTTCTGAATTGATTATGCATTGGATTGGATTCGTTTTATCAAAATGTAAAATATGAAAAAATATTGAATAACATAAAGGTGAGAAATTACTAGGCTGAATGAATACACAAGTTCTTATTCCTTTATAAATAAAAACAACATTACAAAAAATAAACTAACAAGATACAAACACAAGACAATAAATTTAAAGCATGAAAACTTTTTTGGGTCTATGATCTGGTGTTTGTAACAAATAAGGTGATTATCTTTTGGAAACTCAGGACAACAAAATTCAACTGAGTTCACCAACAGTGAGCATTGATAAAATAAAATCTTCAGTGATGTTCCAACAGTTGCATTTATTTTGGTTAGTTAGAATAGTAGATGGTTTTTTTTCTACTTACAGAGCCATCTACAGTATTTCCTGGCAGAAGTTTAACTCTAACCCATTTCTTGTTAATAACTTCTAATTTTTCTACAACCCCTCTTTGCAAATAGCTAGAAAATGAGTCAAACATGAACTGGTGTCTGTTCTTGGTGTTTCTCAATCTCACCTATGTACAAATTCTTTCCATCCAATTTCCTTATAATTCATTTCCCACATTGTCACTGTGGCTAAAAATGCTATAGCTGCTGCTGCTCCTAAGACATACCACTTGTCTTTTTCATTATCTCCAAAAGGTTTACCACCACTTCCCCTGAAACAATAAGTAATGGTGAGTTCATTGTGTAATATGAAAAAAACTGTTCAATTAATGTCATGAAGCATTATACATGAAATTGTTACAAAGTACTGGCAGTGCTATTTCTCACCCACGTCCTGTTCCCCCAAATAAACCAAAAGACCATTGTTCATAGGGTTTTGACCCACTTGGAGCTCTACTGGGGGGAGGTTTAGGGGCCTCTTTTGGTACTTCGGGCTTCCCATCTTTACCTTTTCCTTCTTTGGCTTCTTTTCCATCCTTAACAGGTTCTTTCAACTCTTTTGCACCTCCTGGTTTGAAGTACTTCTCAAAACCCTTAGGGGGTTTCTCGCAGAACAGTCTCCATTCGTTTAATACTGCTTGTTTGAATGAAAAGGGGGGCTACAATTCGGAAAACCATTAGTTGCATCAGGTTATGAAATAAGTTGGATCTAACCTGGGAGGTAGTATGTAAATTTGTCTTTTTGAACGTCTTCCACACCAAATTTTCTATATTTCTACAACTACTGAGAAGGCGATACGCCATTTCTAAAAGTTCAAATTCCTTGAAGTATCGAAAAAGTCAACATCACATAACTCCAGTTCCACCTTTTTAAAAGCCACTAACCTAACTTTTGAAAGTAATGGAGCACGAAACACAAATCTATAGATTGTGATGGAACACGGACAGAAAACAGATTAACCCACAGGGAATCCATCATATTCAAAGCAGCGTTGCCATAACAGTTTCTGTCTTCCGGTATTTTTTTCAAAATGTAATTCTTTGTGGTCTTACTTGGTGATTCGCATAAATATATAAACCTACGTATCATAGATCATCTGCGGAAAAATCAAAAACCGTTGTTTATGGTTATTCCTTTTGATTTTGAATGATTTCAATAACACCTTCGCATCGTGATATAGTCCATGGCATAGACAATTAAAATTGCAATCATCGAATGGGTGGACAGAGCTCTTCATTATATAGAGGAAATACATTACACAAAAATCTGTCTTGCTTTACTTACGACTAAGCTACCCAAATGATGAATATCAACTTCTAGGACCTTGGGCTGAAAAAATCTGATAACGATAACAGCATGGATTTTAAAAGAATAATGAAGGAAAATTGGCCAGATCGAACACTCATATTCACCGATGGATCGTCAATGAACTCCAGAGTGGGACCACAGTAGAGAGCTTACAGAGCTCTGTAAGCTCTCTGTGGTGGGACTAAGGGTGGGACTATAGAGGATAGGGGTCTACAAACCCTCACTCAACTACAATACAAAAGTCAGAATCGAGGATGACGTAGTAACGGGATGACTCACACTCGAGAGGCAGAAGTCAGTAGAGGAATCTCCTCCGAAATGTGTAGAATATACGCTCCGGGCATTGTCTCACCCCGGAAAACCTTCACGAGATCACAATCAAGATGCGAATGCAGTATGACTGGAAGTCTACAACATATTTTATTGGAATATGTCCCAGCACTCCCAGCCACATATACAATTCAAATAAACTGTACGAAAAAATTAAATCCCGTCACAGTACCCCAATCCTTTCCGCTTTATCAGTAGAAGGATAATTATGCTTGTAGGAACCCCTCTGCACAGGATCAGACGCATTCACGTGCAGCTTCACGAGGGTGGTGTTCTATGTTCACCCCTAAGAAGAATCTGGGTAAATAAACCGACAAGGTCAAGCTCATACAGAAGAAGGAATGCAGGAATAAAGGATTAACTCGGACACCGCACTCCGTTGTTACGAACAAAGTTGATACCAAACAATCGATATTTGACATAAACGTTGAGTAACATAATTACTTGTGACACTCTGGATTGAAAATTTGATGAATGTCAAAAACTGACAAATGTGGGGGTGCCGTTGTACTCACAATGAAGTAGGTCAAAATATACCGGGTTGTTCCATTTCAAATAAGAAAGTCTTCTGTGGTCAAACCTAGAGTGACATAAAACATTTGAATACGTCAAAAAATTCATATACAGTGTGACTCACGAAACACCCCTGTATCTTACGCAAACGTTGGGTAAGGATCCTGAAATTTGCTAGAGCGGGGAGATATACCAAAAATGCACTCTATGACCAAGTTGGGTCATCTTCAGTGATATACACTGATAATACTCCGTTATTAATATTGGTCTTAAATATTTTTTATGGGCATTCAGAATATATTACTAGAAAATACAAAAAAAAACTAAAAATTGTCCATAAGATGGCATTTTTCATACGGAACACCCTGTATTTTATTCTCCAAATCGATTGAGTCCTTTCTCTTGATTTCAAATATATATACTTGATTGAGGTCACCTCTGTCAGTTTTCGAAAAATATAGATTCTAAGGCAGCAGTGTAGAACGCCAGAAATCGCAGAGCATTGTCATCTGGTGTACAACACCTGCCTTAGATCTTACCAAAAAATCAAAATTTCTCAAAACTGGCAGGAGATAACCTCAATGAAATATATATATTTGAAACCAGAAGAAAGAGCTCTACCGATTGGTAATATAAAATGCAGGGTGTTACATTAAAAAAAATACCATCTTATGTAAAATTTTCAGGTTTACGATACTGTTCTGCATTTCATAGTAATACATTATGAATGTCCATAAAAATACTTCACTTTTGCCCATTTGAACGTTTCTGTAATATCAATAATAACGGAGATATCTATATTGAATAAAATATAACCAATCAACCCTGTACACATAAAAAAGTTGTATGGGGGTGAGCCACTTTTGAGAAGAAATATCCGCTATAGAAGTGTTTCTCCTAATCTTATTTCGATCATTAAAGAATGATAGATTCTTCAGAGGATCACCTTGTATAAATAGATATTAGTATAGTCCTGACCCTCGCGTGATTTTATTGATTCAACACCCTTCGATGATGATCAACGATACGTAAACATCAATTGGATAATCGTTGGCATGACTACATCTCTCAACCGTGACCCACCTGCTTGCTATTCACCCTTTCACAACTTCAAACCATTATATGCCGTAAAACCGAAAACAATACAAGCGAATCAAACATGTCCGAAGAAAACGGTATCAAGTCCGAATCAGAATCATCCAGTAGTTCTCCAACCCATAGTCCTTTCTTCCAAGAGCATTTTTCTAAAGACCAACAGGATGATCCCACCGATCTGACTTTGTTCGGGAGTAAGGCGCCAACTATGATCAGAAGTGGGACGGTTAGGAGAGTCAGGTCGGTTTCTTTGAAAAAAGAAATGTCCCTTGGCTATTCGAGTAGCACTATAAGTGAAGTGAATATCGCCTCAGCAAGATCAGACAGAGTCATCAGTCCATCGGAGCAAAGTAATAGAAGTAAATTCAGAAGATCTTTGGACAGCACTTTCAGGTAAATTATTTCAAATATCAACATTTGAAGACATTGAGAAGGGTGAAGGGTAAAACTATATATAGAAATGTCACAATATCTTCGTTTTGAAATAATCGCATTCTACCATCAAAGGACACCGAATAACTTCTTGGCCATTGATATTAAAACATCATCGTTCTAGATAGCAACCTTGTTAGGTACTTAGTAGGCGAGAGCGACTATAGTTTTTCATTTAGATCGACAATGGTTAAAATAATTGACATAATTTCAATATATAAGTAATAACAGTATATATATTCTTATATATCTTATGAATATTGAAACAAACAACTCTATTCGTAATGCAATAATAAATAGTGAATTCTCAGAAGAACATATTAATTAATATGGAAAAACAAGGACTGTCACACACATTCTGAAGGAAATTACGAGTTACTCAAAGATATTATTGATGAAGTTATTCCCAGGGTAATTCTGTGAAGTGAATCTTTGTTTCGACCAGGTCTACGAAACCTCATTGAAGTCATCAATTTTTTTTATTTCTTCTGCTGAAACTGGCAATGAATCTAGAAAAAAAACTCTTGCTTACTTCTGATGCGAACGTACCTGATAAATAGAGCAGAGACTGATTTGTGTACCTATACCTTTTGACATATAGACTCTCCTATATGGTTCTTTGAGATTTCCAGGCGGACATTGCCGCAGTTTTTAACCGTTCTACAATATTTCACGAATAGAATATACGGGCTTTCAACAAATGGTCCAGAATACCTAGACCAAATCTGTTTTTGCCAAGCAATGCGTATTTCAATATCTGTGAAAATATGCTGACATTCCTTATTGTCTTTCCCTTCACCCTTCATTGATCTTTCTACTTTATCGTTTTTCAGACGTAGTTTAGAATCCATTTCCGAAAATAAACCGAAGAGGTCTTTCTCACCTACTTTGTCCCTCAGCAACAGTGCCAAATACAGTTCATCTCTAGAGTCCTTCTCCTCTGACCAGACAGATTATGCTATGAGAAGTGAAACCACAGACCCGATTAAAGACGGAAAGACTATCCAGAGTCCAGCGTCTAGCTATCTAAGTTGGATAGAAAGTATCAATAGCGCATATTTCGGAAACAATAACTCCATTGGGCCCCATCATACCAACGCAGATATTGATAGCAAAGTAGGGGAGTGGAACAACTTCTGGCTCAACTATAGCAATGAAAACGCCAGGAAGCGGTATTTGTCTAGTCCATATCCAAGTGCTGACGAAAAAACTTTCCAGGTGGAAGATTTTTCTGAAGGACAAAGCAGTAGCACCACTCAGAAAGAACTAACTGATGACAGGAACTCAACCGAGTATGTTTCTTTGACTGTGGAAGAGATTCAGGAAGCTTTGAAATGTTCTAAGAGGATTACGGAAATTATGCAGAATGCTCTTACAAGAAATGAACATGATTGCGACATGTATAATAGGGAAAATTCTGTTTACTCAGAAACACAATCATCTCTAAACGTAAGTTTCAAAATGTAAATGGCACAAAAGTGTTGGTAAATTTGATTTCTTTCAGAATTCGTCTTTGAAAGAAGAAAATATACAAGCACTACGCGAGGATATGATGAACGTTTCAAGAGAAAGATCCTATTCGTATATTATAAATACACAAGAATTGATCAAACAAAAGGAATCATTGAAACCTTCCATCCAGGCTTCAAGCACTAGCTGCATAAATGCTTTAATGAACACGGGAGTTGCTGATATGCTGAAGAGGGTAATCAACAAAAGGCGTGACGTCATGACTCCTGATGATTTATCTTCCATGACTAGAAGGAGTTTCTCGGAATGGAGCAATAAATGATTTCTATTTGTGAAGTACTTCTATCGGAGTAAATATCACGTCTCGTGTATATACTACAATTATTGTGTGTCAAATCGTAGCTAGAAGATATAAATTGTGATTTTATAATCTTTTAGATTATATATAATATATCCTTGTATACCTAGGTAGGTACCTACCAAATACTGTCCAATAATCAATAATTACTAAAAAAATATATCCGTTTATTTTTCGAAATTAATATTTTTATGGTTTAGTAGTTCTTTGATAAGATTATAATATATTCATTGTATTTATAAGAGAATTCTTGTGAACTTGAACGTGGATTTTTTTGTTAAATAAATAATGAAAATTACATATTCATAATTCATACGACTCTGTAAGTCTGTACTCTAGTCAGAATCGGTGATAGCAAGACTTTCTTGAAATCTGGCAACACTGCTAACTTGCCATTAATCCCAGAAACGAACATGGACGAAGAAGGTCGAAGTTCCATAAATCATAAATCATCAATCACGAATCCCGGATGACCGGATTGGTCCGGAAATGGTTAATTAGGGTTGTTCTCGTGTTTTTTTCATTCATTCCCAAGTTCCCAACTCCTATTTTATTTTGTTATATTGTTTATTGTTATGTAAGTTCCCGTAGCGTATTGTTATTGTTTGGAGCCCAAGAACAAAAATACTTCTCTTTTCCCGAGAAGTTTAGGAAGTAGAAACACAAAAAGGGTGAGTAAGCTGTTTTATTTGTAGGTTATTTTTAGTCAATGGCGTCTTGTATTTGAATTTTTAATTGGCAATTTTCGCTCCCAGCAAAATGGCAACTACCGAACAATTTTCTTTGCGTTGGAATAACTTCCACTCCAACCTGACCTCTGGGTTCCATGAACTCCTGGAGGCTGCTGAGATGGTGGACGTCACTCTGGCAGTGGACGGCCACTTCTTACAGGCCCACAAAATCGTCCTGTCTATCTGCAGCCCCTATTTCAAGCAAATGTTCAAGGCAAATCCCTGCAAACATCCCATTGTGATACTGAAAGACGTGGGGCATGAAAATATGAAAGATATTCTAGAGTTTATGTATATGGGGGAAGTTAGTGTACTTCGAGACAATTTGACACAATTCCTGAGGACTGCTGAATTGTTGCAAGTTAAAGGACTGACAGGAGATGACTCAGTGAGTACCTCAATAATCAACCATCCAATCAATATTTTTCAAAATGCTAAATTTTATATGCTATATCTGCAATGTTATTATGATCATAATTCAGAACTTACAATGTACAAATAACTATTCTACAGCAATCTCTATTTCTAATAACTTGATTTGTTATGATTGAATGTGTGTTATGATTAAATTTGTTTATAGAAGATATCCCAAGATATCTTTCTCACTATGTAACTCAAATGATTCTTCTGAAAATAGGTATTTGTAAATCTGTTTATGAATAGTTTCATGTTGAACAAAAATCCATACTTATAGCAGTTATTGAATAATCTAAAATGATATTAATGGATATTAGGTAAATTTATTGGATATTATTCAAGAAACCTCAGTAACAATCTCTCAAAAAGGTTCTTGTTATATTCATTTTGTCAGTTTTTTCTGATGAAAAATTGATATCATTCATGTATCTATAGGTGCATGAAAACTAGCTAAATATGCACTTTCATAGAAAACTGTTCTTGGTGGAATGGAAGATCAATATTTTTTTCATAAATACTTTTATAATATGATATGCTTTATGCAACAAAATACTAATTTGATTGAAACCCATTCATTGTAGTTTGCTAGGTAGATTCTATTCCTGTCAAGAAAATTGAATCCATGGCCTACTTCATATTACTTATGTAATTATTTTCATTGAGATTTTGTATGCTTACCTACAAAAACTGTATGTGAAATTGTTTCACAAAGTTTGGAAGATCTGTGATCTACATCATTCTCCTTTTACTATTTAAGTTTGGAGGCTATAGCAGACCAAAATATAACTCAATATTGCACATAGTATCATGAATAATTATCAATATCAATTTGTAAATTTGATTTATAATTGAATGAGGTTCCAAATTTTGAAATTAATGGAAGAAGTCTATCAAAGTCAACATGAAATATCATTGAAATTATTGAAATTGCTAACATTTCTCAAAATAATTGATCACTAATAAAATTTTGTAGAGTGAAGAGTCCCCCTCCTCAAAAGAGAACAAAACAGATTGTGATAGTATTGATGAAAATGAAATGTACAATCAAATGATTGAAAGTGATGTAGAGTTACCTGTATATCCTCAACCAACCACACATCCAGCACCTCTTCCAAAACGAACAAAACATGTCAATAATGTTGGTACAAATGCCAAACGTCCAAAGGTAACTATAAAAAACTTCATTTCAATCAAATATAATATCAGATGAATGCAACATTATAATCAAATAATTGAATGAGATTTAATTGCCCCATGAATTTACATGCAAGTATCATAAAATAGAATAGAAATTTATTCATCATTGAAAATTCTACATCTGTATTACATACATTTATAAAATTTTATCAGACTAGTCAAGATCAGTTTGATTATGAAAAATCTTTAATATCACCATGAACATCTCTCAAATGAATAGGAATCAATTGTATAACAATAATATTTGAAACTAAATGAGTTTTTTTTCTATTCTGTTCAAGTCTTTAGAATTGTTTTCTTCCCTTGATGTATTATTTGCTATATTTCATTTTATTTTATAATTATTGTTATCATTGATTCAAGTATTTCAATATCAATCATAATAATTTATAAATACTACTGGCTGTGTTTGTAAGAGAGAAATCTTTTATAAATAATCTTTATAACTTGATTTGCAAAACTTGAATAAATTCATTCAGGAACAACCAATTTGATTATGATTTTTGAACCAAAGTCTTTAAAATGTATATAAAAATGGTTCAAATCATGAAAACCCTGATAACCAGTGGTCCTTTTTGGAAATTTGGTCAGTTTATTCAGGATCATTCATTCTAGAATGAAAGTCAGTCACAGCTAATAAAACCAATCAAACAAGAATTTGAGCCAGTTAAAACAAAAAATGAGGCAATTAGCAATAATGGAGAATCTGCCAACATAGAAAATTCCAACTCTCTGGGTTGCTTGAAACCTTCAGAAGTAGATGACTGCAAAGAACCAATCAACATGAAGATGATGTGGGACAACAGCTTTGCGGCCGCCACATCGGCAGATTTGAATTCATCTGACCAAGGTAGGTCCCTGACGGCGATTTTGCATGTTGTTTTTTTAATTTTTAGTTGGTCTCACTTTTGAACGTTTTCCACTCAACAATGTCATATTTTACACAATGGAAAGTGATGCAGATTTATGTGAATAAAAAATTTGATGACTACTAGGTGATTTTGAAAGTGAAAAAGTAATTTGTCTATGTATCATGTTTCCTCTCTGAGATAAGGTATTGAAATCTATAAACAAAAAATCTTATAATGGTATCCTATTCAAGCTTTTTATTTATCAAAATAACCAGAAAATTTCAAAAAAGTAATAGTCATTGTTTATTTATTTCATAACACTATTATAACTTATTTAAGTTCATCACTAAAGTTAGGACATAATGGCCTGTACTAGAAAGAAAAAAATATTCTACCATTTGATAGTACTAACCCAATCTAGTACAATTGATAGGTACCACTTACAGTTTTTATCCTGAAAGCTGAATATATTTTTCAATAAGTGATGAAATCCACAATATTCAAATTCATCAAAATCCTGGGAAAAGGTGAAGTAAAATCCGTCTACCAATATAAATATGATATCAGAAATTTTGGAATGCAATCTCATCTCTATCTGTCTTGATTTTCATTCCTGTTTGGGCAGGTGGAATAAGAACTGTTTTCAAAAATACCTCTTGTGGTTTATTAACTTTATTCCAAGGCTTATACACTTGATAGTTTGTTCTCTGCATAAAATATATTGAATACAAGATGGAATGAATTATTAACAAATATGTGAAAAATAATAATATAAAACAGATGAACAATAATAATGTTATCAATTTGTCAACATTTGAGATTGAGTAGGTTCTTCTCATCTCTTTCAACTACTTCCTTCCATTGTTGTGAGGTTTCACTTGCAGCCAACCATAGCAATCATTCAAAATTCCATAAGTAATTTGGTGAATGAGTGTCTCCTGTGATAGAAGATGGGTTGAAACTGTTTTGATTCCTTAAGGATATTTGTAATTACATTTTTGGCACTGTGTTGAGAATGTTGAGATGTTATCATTTGTAAATATCCTGAAACTCTACAAAGGAACTGTGGGATCTCATGTACGTCATAATTATAAACACAAGACCAAAAAAATCAATAGAATTTCTTTCAGATTTTTATGTGAAGTGAGTTTTTAGATTTATTTACTTCAGAATCATAAAAAGAAAGTTATCAATGAGATATCATCAAAAACATAAATGGCGAAATTTTCATGGGAAAAACATAATATCTTTGAATATTGTTGAAAAAGTATACAGGGTTGGGCAAAAGTATGGAACCAGGTGAATATCTCGGTAACCGTATGTTAGATTTTTTCGAATACATATATGTACAAGATGATTTCAAAACGTGGTGGATTTGAAAATGTCATCGTTGATGTTGCCACTTTTTCAGTTATTCCGGAATTATTATCAACTTCCTTATTTCAAATAGAGCACCCTGTATTTTATTGAATTTTCATATCCTCCCTGAAAAGCTGATTTCATTGATTCATCACACTTGGGGTCTAGCAAGGATGATTACTGAGATATAGGGTGTTCAAAATCGAGATTTTTCAACTAGGATTTTTTTGTGTCGAAACTTCATTATCGGTCAAAACGGCTCTCATGTCCCCATCTTAACTTTTGAACTACTATCTATTGGTATTCAATGGGAACAGATACAGGGTGATCAGATTTCTGAATATTGAACCACCCTGTATTTGTTTCAATTAAATGTCAGTAGATAGTGAATCAAAAGTTGACGTAGGAACATGTAAGCCGTTTTGACCAATAATGAATAGTTTGGACACAAAAAAATCCTTAAGTTGAAAAATCTCGATTTTGAGCACCCTATTTCTCATTAATCATTCTTACTAGACCCCAAGTGTGATGAATCGACGAAATCAGCTTTTCAGGGAGAATCTGTGAATTCAATAAAATACAGGGTGTTCTATTTAAAATAAGGAAGTTGATAATGATTCCGGAATAACTGAAAAAGTGGCAACATCGTCGATAACATTTTCAAATCCACCACGTTTTGAAATCACTCTGTACATATATTTAAAAAAATCTAACAAACGGTTACCGAGATATTCACCTGGTTCCACACTTTTGCCCAACCCTGTATAACATACTCAATTATGTAAGACTTCATGAAAAAGTTCAAGTTATCAGCTAGAAAAGTAACATGAAGTATATGAAAAAACAAAAAATGATAACTTTTCATATGAGAATTTACAGATATCTCTTAGAATAAAATGTATATATTTATAACAGAGGTGGGACGTCTCAGACCCCAAAGCTGTTTACTGCACTGTCACTACTTTGGTAGCTGATTAACGACTGAAATCGCGCCAGAATATTCCAGAATGAAGTATTTTGAGAAGCTATTGAAAACCAATGAAACAAGCCTGATGTCATACCCGACCTGGGTGACATTGGGTTTATCTTTATCTTTATTATTATTCCCAAGAAACATATATGTTTATAGCAGGGAAAATTAGTTACACTTGATAACTGTAGGGTGCATATATGTTGTTCACATTCGCCAATAAAACGACTGGAAAACGTTCAAGGTCAAGAACCTACATCGCTTCTTTAACACATTGTACATAGATTGTTCACCCCTTTATTTTGTTCGTGCGATGATTTGCCGTATTATCTTTATTTCCGCAAAGTTCTGCTGTGTTTCTGTGCCGTATTTCGTACATTTTGTTGAGTTGCGCGCTCCCGTTTGCATGGTAAGTAGCCTACTAATATTCCTCGAGAGAGAGAGAGAGAGATCGCCAGTAGAAGTCACTAAACCTTTTGCAGCGGAATGCCGCACCTGCGGCAAGTGGATGAGGAGGAGCAGCATCCGCAGACACTTCTACGATGTGCATTCACCTGCCAGGCAGCTGCCGTGTGATGTGTGCCGCAAAACTTTTAAGACTGCTAACAGCTTGACAACGCACCTCATAACGATACACAGGAGGTTAAAAGGCGACAGACGGAATATCGGGAAATATAGGCTCGGTTGAGCGGGGGATGAATGTGCGTTTCTTCCGAGAAGCAGCGACAGTGACGTTATCGGGGGCCATTAGCAGGGCCTACTCTATCTCACCGGGCCGTAGTCTATCCCCTCTACCTCGATGGTGACGTCACACTAGTAGGTTGAGATTTCACAACATTTCATATCGGTGCGTTCGTTATTGAAAGGTTATTGCTCATTTACTTTAAAAATTAAAAGCACAATCAATTGGGACGAATTGATCCCTGATGAACTACCCAACTTTTGGTAAAAAAATAAATTCATTAGGATGAACCAGTATCGATTTATGAGGTTGTAAAGAAATTCAATTTCAATGAAAATCAGGACGTTGTATTAGGTAACACTATTTTTTGCCAATTTGGAATGGGTATAAAATTAAAGTGACTGAGTATGTCAAACTAGGATAATGCATAAATTAAATAGTGAGGAAATTATTGAGCTACCTACAATGAGTGCGAAATAAACTAGAAATATAGAGCATGTAAAAATTTTTCTAGTATACCTACCTGATTTCCCCGTATTAACGATTTCTCGGTGATTCCCTATAGGTAAAGGGCAATGCACGTTTTATTACTCATGTTCCAGTTGTGGGTCTTTTGATATTTTCAAAACTATATTGAATATTGTGTTGAATAATTAGGTATTACCAATGAAATATAGGGGGATTCAGTCAAATAATAAGAAAGAAAAATCATCAGACTTTCCGTATGAACATAATTATGATGCTTTGAGCCCTTTTTTTAGTTTATTATATATGTATATATTTTGTTATAAGTACATGTTATTTTGTAATATCTGGCTATTTTTTCTCTCATTATATTGAATATTTTCAGAATGGCTCTAGTTTAGTATTGTGTTCACGAGAACAAATTTTTTTTTCTTTTCAATTTTCATATTTTGAAAATGTTTTCAAATCAATTTATCTTCGTTAATATGAGATTATTTCTAAAATAGCTGAAAATAACTAATTCACAGTGAGGATTTTTGCCTAATAACTTCTACTCCGATAGGTATATAATTTCTAACGTTATCAATGTGTGTCCAGATTATCTTTAGACATAAACACTGCTAAAATTCTCTGAGATACAGTAAAAGAGTATCACATCGATTTGTAGGCAATGAAATTTACAATTTACAAAAAATTCAGTGACAGCATATATCCACAACTAATAGGTTTAGCATGGTGGCCCTCTGAACTTTTTGAACTACACTGTAATAATCATCTGAATCATCATTTTACTTCAATTGAAATATCGGTTCATTATTGGCTCTTGGGAATTTTGAAAAAAATTACACTCAATCTAGATACTATGAGAAGCCTTTGCATGGTTGAATCATTTCTGTGAATTGAATATTGGAATTCTAGCAGCTGTTCAAAAAACGAAAATTCTGAATGTAGTCAATTCATCTTGATATGCTATATTTCTTGAACTATTATTACTATTAATCGTAATTCAGTGAATATTTATTCATCTCTTCAAAAAGTCTAATCGGTACATATTTGATATCTTGACATTTTTTGATAATTGTTGCCGTTTTCCCGTGGTACATCAATGAATCGGGAAAGGCAATTTCCAGCGCCTCGATTTTGTCCCTTCTAGTGTGACGTCACGAAAGCGATGCTCCGGCACGGGAGATAGAGTAGGCCCTGCTCAAAGATTACATGCGCGCCTCTACTGTCACAATTTGAAAGCTGTGCGAGTACCACGAATCCGTTTTTCCCAAACATATAGTACGAGATCCGACTGCAAGTTTACTACGTTCATCTGTTATTTGATGGAAATCAAATTTCAACATATATTCGTAAATATTCATATATATTCATTTGTTTTTTGAATATGAATATGGATCGTACTAAAGGAAATCACCTATCATGTGTGTGTGTGAACAAACAATAAGGAACACATTTGATGACAAAAAAATTTATATTTCTCATGAATCTATAAATTTTTCAAATTATTGTAGCAACAA